GGAACTAGTCTCGTTATATTCCTCCATCTGTTGTTTTACAGCTTGGAACCTCTCGTTACAAGCTCCCAATTATTATTTTACAGATAGAACTTGTCTCATTATGTGCTTCATCTGTTATTTTACGAATGGGAACCTGTCTCGTTATATTCCTTCATCTATTGCTTTATGGCTGGGAACTTCTCTCGTTACAAGCCCCCAGCTGTTATTTTACAAAATGGAACCTGTCTATTAACAAGCCTCCAGTTGTGATTTTACAAATTGGAACCTATCTTCTTACATGGCTACATTTTGTTTTTACATATTGAACATGTCTCGTTACATGGCTAGATCTTTTGTTTTTCAGACAGAACATGTCTCTTTACATGCTTCATATGTTATTTTACATATGGAACTTGTCTCTTTACATGCTCCCATCTGTTATTTTACAGATTGTTACCTCTCTTATTCGCCTCATCTGTTGTTTTAACAGATGGAACCTATTTCGTTACATGGCTACATCTGTTATTTTATGGATGGAACCTGTCTCTTTCTTTGCTTCAAGTATTTATTTTACATTCATGCATCTGTATCTTTATGATCGCTATTAGTAATTGTACACTCGGAATCTGTCTTTATATTCGTCCATCTGTTGTCATATAGTCATATGTCTATATAGTTGCTTATACATCACAAACCAAATGCCAATATGAATTTTACACTGGCCCATCTGTCTCCTTTTAATCTTCCATCTACTATTTTACACGCTACTATCTATCATTTCAAAATCATTCCTGCAGTTGAGGGGTCAAAATTGGGATAAATGGGGAAGTTAATTGTGACGTTTTAGTCACCATCCAAACTGGCTTAACGTACAGGAGCAGTAGCAGGTGTTTGTGATAGTAAGAATAAGAAGAAGAGGAAGAAGAAAAAGAAAAAGAAGGAAAATTAGAACTCGAAGCTTGCGCGATGGAAATGCTGAAGGAAGAAGAAGAAGAAGAAGAAGAAGAAGAAGAAGAAGGAAGCTTGGATGGGTTGGCATGGAGAACCTTGGCACACTGGTGTTTCATCTCTCCATTCAGAATAAGAAGGAGGAGGAGGAGGAGGAGGAAGAAAGCTTGGATGGGTTGGCACAGAAATCCTTGGGACGCTGAGTTTCGTCTTTCCATTCCAAAGAAGAAGGAGGAGGAGGAGGAGGAAGGAAGGAAGCTTGGATCGGTTGGCACAGTCCTTGGAACATCGGAGTTTGGTCTCCCGATTTCGAAGATGACGGAGGAGGAGAGGAGAAAGTGAGAGGAAAGAAAAACATATGAGGGTGTTTTGGGCATCAAAATTATCTTAAGGGGGTATTTTTTTAGAAATGGACTTTTCTGGAAATATGTTTACCTTCTGGCCTTAAGAGTAAATATTATTTATTAATTTTCTTTTCTAGTAATTATCCCTTTTTTTGTAATGATTTTGATTTGTAATTTTACTTGGATATCTAGACATTTGGACATTTAGATATTTTATTCAAATTTGAATATTTAGATATTTTATATCTTTATTCTATCATTTTTGGCGTATCTTAATGTACAAACTATAATATATTATGCATATTAAAAGAATTAGTAAAACATCAAAACAATAAAAATATAATGTATAACAAATAAAAATGTAAAATTAAAATATTAAACTCATTAAAAGTAAATAATTTAATTTATAGTTATTGACACATAATTTATAGTTTTATAATTTAATTAAAAAAAATAATTCAACAAAAAATAAAATAAAATAAATAAAAACTAAAGAAATCATAAATTATTAAAAAATAAAATATATTATATTACTGACATGTACGTGCATCAGTAAAATAAAATAGATAAACTAAAAATTTTTAAATTATTTAAGAAAATAAAATAAAATCTAAAATTATTTTAAAATAATTAGTGATGCAATCTTGCATCGGTTGTGTCAATAATTTAAAAAATGTGTCGGTAATTATGTTGGTAATTTAAAAATCTTAATTTATTTAAACATGTATCATCGATGCAACTTTGCATCGATAATTGTGTCGATAATTTAAAAATTGTGTCTGTTATTTTTGTGTTATAAATTGTGTCAAAAAGCTGCATCTGACTATCAAAAGTTTCAACATATTTTTTAATTTGTGACAGAACTTGCATTGAAAAATTATTGATGCACGGCGCTTTGCATCAATGAACTGTTTCTAGCAACTATATTTCTAATACAATTCTTTGTGTGATTTAGTGTGTCAAAAAATTGATTTTTAACACATATTTTACATTTACTAATACGATTTGAGTATTGGTAATAGCCATTTTTCTCATAGTGTAGGGAGAGTCTATGACTAAGAAACATGGTTAGTGTCCCTCCTATTATTAAATCCTAGATGCGTTATTGATGGCAAGGGTAACTTCGTCTTGGGCCATTTGAGAACAAAGTTGCGCATGGAACGGAAGGTGAAAATAGATTTGTACTTTGATGTTTTTTGTCCCAAACATATTGTTATTTGTTTAATTTTTTCTATTTTCATTTGGAAACGTAGCGCCACATCTTCAACATAATCCATATGCACTTTTTTCAGCATATGTGTTCCTTCATTTATAAAGTGCCAAATTAACATTTTCTAAAAAAGTAAAAATAAAATTTTTGTATTTGTTAAAGGCTAAAATAAATTTTTATTTTTTTCTTATAATTATTTGGATGAAAATGATAAAATATTCTATCCTCTTATTAAAATAACAATTTAATTATAGTATAAAAGAAAATATCAAATATATTATCTAACTCACTAACATTATTTAGTGATGACACGTGCCAATCTTTTACATGATGAGGCACATTAGAATTTTTTTTTTTTTTAAAAAAACAAGATAGTGTTGTAAATAACATGATGACTTAAACTAATTGACGTGGCACTAGGTTAAAAAATTATTTACAAAAATGAAATGAAAATGCCCAGTTTCAAAGCCTTGTTGGAGGTTGGTGGGGATAAGTGATTAAAGAGGTTACTACTTCATCACAAATTTGAGACCGAGGCTGTGGGCCGCACTCACAATGGAAACACTTGACCCGTAGTGGAGGTTGAGATTTTCATTAAGGAATACAATCGTCATAGGACAGCCATGTTTGTTTGTTTCTTCTACCTCGTCTCTCTTGCCCTTGTTCAAGGCTTCCTCTCTCTACTTCTCCGTTCAAAAATCGTCCCCCCACTCACTCTTGTTTAGGTTCATCCATCCTCGTCAATTTCTTTCCCCAACTTATCAGCCTATTGGATTCTTTGATGTGAGGGTTGTCAATAGAGCGGATTTTAATCCGAATCTGATTCAAATTCGATCCGATTATTTAAGATTTTTAATCGATAAAAAATTTAATCAACATAATCCGATTAAAAAAATCCATAATCTGATTATAATATATATATATATATAATATCACATATTGATACAATATTATATATATATATATACATAATATGTACACACAATTATTATTGTGTTTATATGCGGATAAATTTTTAAAAAGTAAATAAGATGCGCCATAATTTAGTTTATAAAATTAAACAAATTTCGTTGGACAAAATGTTTTAAATAGAAATAAATAATTTATATAATATAATTAATCTTATTATTTCCGTTTCCTTTATTTTTGTTCCAAAAATTTTGTGATTGAATAACTTATCATTACTTTTAATTATTCAGATTTTCTAGTATTAATTTCTGTAAAGTATATTAATTACATACTTTATTTGTCAAATATTTCTTTTTTTTTTTTGTCATAACCTTTTGTGTGGATAAATGACTATATTTATATAATTTTTGCATTAAATTTTCTTAAAAAATTTACTTTTTTTAGTTATACAAAAGTCTTGGTTAATGTAAAAAAAAAAAAAAAATTAAAATAACATTTACACTTTTCCATCATATATTATGAAAATAACCATTAAAATAATGAGAATTTTCAAATATAATAGCCATTATATTTTTTATATTATTTTTTTATTTTAGTTTTAAAAATTTATTTATTTGGACATTGGATTTTTCTCGGATTCAAATATGATAATACTTATTACAGATCCGATCAGATATCAGGTGGATTCGGATATAATTATTGTTATCGGATTCGAACTCGGATCTATCATGATCTTATCCGAATCTGAACCATTGACAGCCTTAGATGTGACCATGGGATGGGATTTCCTTCAATTATATTTTTCCCCCTCTCTTGGCGTGCCATACTAATGTGTGACCATTCCTTAATCCAGAGTTATGGGATCAAGGCACTTGAACCCACAATGATATTAAATATATTTATTTTCCTAAAAGAAAGAGAATAAGACCGACTGTAGTGCAACCATTGTGTAAACCGTCCAGTTTTAAATAGAGAAGAATGCTAACAAAAGTTGAGAATAAGGGAAATGGATTCAACGTGCTGGCAGCTAATGTTGCAATTATCCATCAATCTTTTGAATGAATAGGGACCTTATTGAAACAAAGTAATAAACACATGGTGCAATATCAAACAAATGAAAAGTAGATACTAAATTTAAAATCAAGTAAAAATTAATGAATTTTCTTTTCAGGGATTTGTTGTTTATACTATATTCTCAATGTGGCCCTCACATGCCCCATGACAAATGGTTTAAATTATGAGAAAGAGGTGACAATAATTAAAAATACTTGCCCTTGCAAGTGGGTTGTTTATGTTTTTTTTTTTTTTTTTTTTTTTTTTTAAACAAGAATAGAATTTTAGATAAATAATTATTAATAAAAAGTAAAGCAATCGAGTAAGTTGAGGCAGTTGAGGGGTTAGTGAGGCTTCCACTGGCGCCCATTAAGGAAAAAGTTGGAAGCATGCTCAATTATAAAGCGCTTTTCAGAGGTGAGAATAAACCATAAAATAGAAAGAATGAAGATGAGAAGGTCTGGAATGAGGGCGCTCCACCTCTGCTTTCTTGCTGCAGTGGTGTATGTTGCTAGGGAGAGCTATGCACAAGTGGGGTGCAATGGATCAATAGCAGAATGCGAAGGAGGGTTGAGATGTTGATGGACTCGGAGGTGAGTCGAAGATTTCTGGAGATGGAGAAGCGGGCCATATCATATGGAGCTCTGCAGCCTAATGAACCAGCATGCCGCGATGCTGGTAAGGGTCAAGCTTATAGCAGCAGTTGTCTCCCTCCCCCGTCTAATCCTTACAGAAGACCTTGTTCCAAGTACTATCGTTGCAGGGATGGTTCTTGATCTCTCTCTTTCTCGCACACAAGTCTTGGTTGATCTTATTTTCCCCCTCCATGTGATTTGACCTTCAAAATGGTGTTGATGAATAAAGGAGAACGTTGAGAGTTGCAAGTTTTCATGTGATCGATGCTTTGTTTTTAATGTTCAGTTTAAAGATTCTTAAGATGTCTATGAGCAGAGAAGCCAGCAAAGCTGGGGATCAATTGATATTAGTTTTAGTGCAAAATACTTGTATTAAATTTTATATAATTATTTCAGTTAAAATCTAATAAATGAGATTAATTGTAATTATATTCTAATACATTAATTACGATTGTTTTCTAAAAATTATTATAGCTTTTTTCTAAAAAATTAAATATACTCTTAATTAATTTTTATCTATTAGATTTGATTAAATTAATGGTACAAGATTTATTATAAAATATTTTACATTTACACTCATACCCATTGATTTCTCCGCACCCTCCTCTCCCTTTTATATTTTCTGTAATTTGTTTTTTTTATTAGTTTTTGCCAAATATTTTTGGAATTATGCGAGCAAGTTTGCTTTATCATTCCTAGCCTTTGAAAATCCCAAATGCTTGTTAAGTTTCAAAGTCCACACTCCTTGTGTTTCCCTAAAATAGAATAGAAGAAGAATCGGATATTAATATACAAGTATGCCTGGAACTATTTGTAAGACAGAGGCAGACAAATCAGGATTTTAAAATCAATTTTGCCTAATAATAATGACAGATAGATGTGTAGGAGTTAAAGCTTGTAGAGACTGTCCACTTGATCTTCTCCGTCAAGCCCAAGAAACAAAAACCCTCCAAATTTTGATCATATTATCTGGTAAATCAAGATTTTGCATCACTTGTAATGTATCTTCACTTGGATTCAGAGACGGAATTACTCTGGGAATGGGGATGCTTGCCCATATTTAAAAAGATAAATGAACCCCATATTTTAACATTTTATAATGGGGCCGGCCAAAGTAATTTAATCCTAAATCCATCTGTGCTTGGATCTCAGTTTCATCTGTATTCTATGTTCTTTAAACTGTATTCTATTTCTTCAACTCAAATTTCTTTCGACAACTATTATCTTGGCACTTTAACTTCTCTCCAATCTCCTATATATCTTATCTTTTAATCCTAATTTTTATTAAAATTTAAATCCATGAATTGGCCATGCACCATTATCTCTAGTTAAAACAACACCAGTTAGAAGCTAATTATTTCATCTTGGCCAGGCGAAATGTTCTGTTTTTCTAACAGGGATGAACAATTTTAATTACCCCGACTTCTAAACGTTAAAAGATTGCCTGATTTTTCAGGGAATTGGTTTTTGAAAGAATTGAAGCGAGGCCCATGACCAGTCAGTTTCCAAAACTTATCCATATGATGGATCGAAGGGCAAAATCCACACCAAGAAAGAAGGCCTTGATAAGAATTCTTTGCAAATGTGATATTCCTAAGGAGCAGACACATCTTATCCGAATAATTCTCTACACAAACCTTAATTCTTCTGACTGGAAATTCCAAACCTCTTGTATGCTCCCATTCTCCAACTGTTTGTTTTATGTTGTTTACTAGTATGAAACCTAAAGATAGAATGATGTTGTATTAGGCGTGACCAAATTTTTAGTACAAAGTTTCTCCACCATTTTTTCTGGAACTAAACTCAGAGCACATCCTTTTTTCACATGACCTTGAAGTACTTTTAATCTATATATGTGTGTGTGTGTGTGTGTGTGTGTCTATATATATGAAAGAGAAAAAAATTCAAAGTACTAAGAGCCTGCTTGGTTCGCCTGTTTTTTGTTTTCATTTTCAATAAAAACAAAGAAAAACGGGCAAGAAACATGTTTGGTATCAACTTTTTATTTTCATTTTGAAAAAACATTTTCTGAAAAAGATAGAAAATTGATAACAATAAAAAGGAGTTTTTCGCGTTTTTAGTACAAAACTGAAAATGCAATGGCAATTTTGTAATTAAGTTGCTTTCCAATGTTTTTCTTGTAAGTATCGTCCATGTGCTACTGTTCCACGTAATCAAGCTTGCTGGTGAATGGAGCTACGGATGAAGCTCGTTGCCGGTTCGGTGATCAAGGCACGATGTCATCCACCAGCTGTTGCAAGCAAGGGAGTTAGCTTTGTCAATCCACCAGCCATCACCTGTTTGTTTTCTGTTTGTCGACTTTGTTCGCAGAGTTGAGGTCGACTCTGTGAACAGAGTCGACAACAAGCTCTATGAACAAAGTTGATGTCGAGCTTCGTCAAGCTCCATTAATTGGCAACCGCGATTAGGCCATCCGATTTGCGAATCATTTGTCCAATATTTTAGTGTTTGGCAATTGCGAAACATCTTCGAGTTTTGAAATTTTAACGTTTAGTACATCATTTATCCAAATTAGTTTAAGACTTTTGTTCTTCGAAGCATAGATAGTTCATCTAAGTGAAAATTTCTTGACAAAATTGGAGATTGAAGGAGTTTTGAAATTGGGTCACGATCGAATCTAACAGACCCGATCGCAACCTGCTGGACGAAGGGGATGACCCTTTTTGCAATTTTGTATTTTTTTCAATCCTTGATCTTTTCTTTCTCCTTCAATTTAGTCCTTCAACTTTTCGAATCTTAATTCTAGTTTTAGAATTTTTGATTTTTTCACTTAAACTCCTATAAAAAAAACCCTAAAATTTTGATTTCTTTCAATTGAGTCTGCATTTTTAATTAATTGAAAATATGTAAACAAACATATTTTTATTGTTTTCATTTTCTGAAACAGGAAATAGTTAAGCAAACCAAACACATTTTTCAAAATTCAAAATTCTAAAAATGAAAATCCTTTTCACAAAATAGAAATAAAAAATGAAAATAGGAAACATTTTCGCAAACCAAACACCACCTAGTTTTTTAAGATTTGTGCAAGGTTTGAAAGAATAACTTGCTTTATTAAAAAGATGTCTATGTTTTGTATATCAAGTTTATGAATAGATTACTATAAATCTGGCTACCAACTCCTGCTTTTTTACCTATTAGGAGAAAAAATAATATTGCAACAAAATAATTTGGCAACACATACGAATGCATCGTTATATCTTGACTAAGCATTCCCAATTTTGACCAAAGCTTCGTCTCTCATGCCAGAGAATTTACATCAAAGTATAATTTACCATCGCTTGGTTATGCGTAGCAAATCTTTTTTTTTTTTTTTAACATAGGAGATGAGAGAAAAATAAAAATAAAATAAAAAATTAATATGAAGAATTGGGAGTTGGTTAGATTTTTACAATTGGTTCGTCTTCGGCGCAATAATGATATGAAGAGTGCCACATATGAAACAATTCTGATCACGTCTTTTAGTGGGTAAAAATGGTCACACATAAAACCATGTTGAGACTCATGCTTTGATATTACTTGTTGGGACTATAACATTCATATAATGAAAATAGACATAGTGAATTTAGAAAAAAGTAAAATATATGGACACTAAGATTTATGTAGAAAACCCAAATCGAAAAAAATTACGAACTAAGATGAGCAAAATATCATCACTATAGGAAAGAATTTTATACAGAAATGTCGAGTATTTTTACCAACTCGAGATATTCACTCAAAAAAATTTCTCATTTTATATCACTCTCACTACACTAAATTCACTCTCTACACAAGAATTTTTTCTCTTCTCAAAACTTGAAAGATTTTCTCTTTAACTCTCTTTTTTCTTCCTCTCATTGGTGTGTATTGAGAATGTCAAGCCTTCCTTTATTTATAGGCGAGGAAGGGCTTTTTCATAAAATGCCATGCAACTCACCAACTTCATTTGTCAATAAAAGGGGCCTTCTTCTAGTGGTTACTTCTTCAATTGTCAAAAAGGGCTTGTGGCTATATATGCAACCACAAGCCTTCCCCCATTTTTTTTTTTTTCTTTTGTATTTTTTAATATATATTTATGGGCTAGACCCCACAAATTATGCCCTCCAGACCCATGCTTTTGGGACGATATCATTAACATTCTTCTAAGTATAGCCCATGCCGACAAGTTTTTTGTACATTTCAAACTTGTCACGAGAAATCACCTTAGTCATCATATCCAAAACATTTTTGTCAGTGGAGATCTTTTTCAGATAAAGTGACTTATTTTTTACTTGCTCCCTTATCCAATGATATCGCACATTAATATGCTTCATTCAAGAGTAATGCATGAAGTTTTTACTCAATTCTATTACGCTTTGACTATCACAATAGACTACATACTCCTTTTGGTGAAGACCAATATCCTAAAGAAATCTCTTAAGAAAATCATTTATTTTCCTATTTCTGTAGCAGCAATATACTATGCTTCAGTTGTTGATAGTACAATGCACTTTTAGAACTTTACTTTCATGACATAGAACCCCTAAAAATGTAAATACAAACCTAGAAATGGATTTTTTGTGATTTGGATCACTTGCCATATTAGCATCTGTAAAAGCTTCTAAGACTACGTCTGATCTTCCAAAGTATAGACATAATTATAATGTACCATTTAGATACCTGAGTATCCATTTTACAACTTCCCAATATTCATCTCTTAGGTTGTCAAAAAACCGACCAACCTTACCAACAATATGAGCAATATCTAGTTTAGTACAGACCATGGTGTACATTACACTCCCAACTACGGAGGAATAGGAAACTTTCGTCATCTTATTTTTTCTTCCGTTGTAGAACACATATTCTTACTCAACTTCAGGTGACCAGCAAAAAGGGTTCTAATTTGTTTAGCATTTTTCATATTGAATCGTTCTAGAACATGCTCAATATACTTCTCTTGAGATAATTATAACTTTCTCTCATTCCTATCCCAAACTATCTTCATCCTCAAGATTTGTTGTGTAAGACCCAAGTCTTACATATAAAAAGTTTTGGATAGATCTGTCTTTAGTTTGGCTACCTGCACTCATCACATACAACAACAAAATAATAAAATTGTTGTCAAAGAACTTTTTAAAGTATACACATATATCAAAAAAAGT